GAAGGATGTCGAGGATTTCGATGGTCCGTGCTTGGTGTTGCTGGAGATCCTTTGAGAAGATCAATAGGTCGTCCATGTATATGACTAGCCATCCTTGGTTTATCTGCTTCTGGCAGAGTTTGGTCATGAATGCTTGGAAAGTTGCGGGGGAATTCGTTAATCCAAAAAACATGACTGTTGGCTCGAACAGTCCTTCTTGAGTGGTAAACGCAGCTTTCCATCGATCTTCTGGGTGGATCCTTACGTTATTGTACCCTGATCTAATGTCGATCTTCGTGAAATACTTAGCGTCATATAGTTGTTCGATGAGGGATTTTGGCAAGGGGAGGGGATATTGATTTCGTACGGTCCAATCGTTGAGATACCGATAATCCTGACAAGGACGTAGTTCTCCGCTCTTTTTTCCTACGAAAAAGAATCCGCTGGCTTGAGGTGACTTGGAGGGGACAATAAAACCTTTTCTAGTGTTTTCTTCGATAAATGTTTTGACAGCTTCTCGTTCTTTTCCTGATAATGGATAGACTTTTGACGTTTTGGGTACAAATCCTGGTTTGAGGTCGATACGATGATCTACTCCGGGTCTTTCCGGCGGGAGTTTGTTAAGACCATCCTTGGCAAAGACGTCTTGATACTGATGGAGGAAGTGGGGGACGAGTTCTTCGAAAGTTTTCTTTTGCTTTTCTATTTCTCCTGCAACCGCGAATTCTTGGGCTTTATTACTTGTTTTTCCAAAGTTTTGTTCTCTTTTTGATGTTCCGTCTTGAACGAGTGGGGTATCGAAGGTCATATCTTTTATGATGCGTACGGTGGATCCATCAGTGGCATACTCGACAAGTACTTCGTCGTCGGCCAATTGATAGTCAAATGGGTCTGCGACTGGAGTTTTGAAGTTTTCTGACCAGACGTCGTCCTTTGTGTCATAGTTAGGTATTTCTTCATCAACTATCGGCTTCCGTAGTTTGGAATTTGTCCAAGTTCAGTTCGTTTCTTTTCTGACTTCTTTTCTTTTTCTGAAAAGCGGTGGGAGTGACTTCTTGCGTCTCTTTCTGTCGATGCTTTTTTCTATGGCGAGCGACCTCTTCGTTGATGGGAGTAATACGGTCTTGGCCTCCCAATCGATCTGAGGTTTTAGTGCAGCAAGCCAGGGAAATCCTAGGAGGATTTTGTCTTGTTTAGCTAACTTTGCCACATTGAACTTTCCGATCATAGTTCGTTGATCGATTTTGATCGTGAGTACGCAATAGCGAGAGATAAGTCCTCCTTGAGCGTCTGATCCATCGGCGGTGATAACAGGGAAGGGTCGTGAAAGTTTATGGGTTTTTATTTTGTGCCTTTTGCAGAAGGTATCGCTGATAAAGGTGCCGGATGCTCCGGAATCGATAACCATGGATGTTTCGACGGTTTGTACGCGTTTATCGGAAAAAATGGATGCAGGAATTCTTAATTCATTTCTGGTTCCGATAGAACGTATTAGTCGTACATGAGTGGGAGTTACTGACGTCGAGGCAGCGTCCCTTTCTAAAAATCCATTTCCACGAAGCGGCGTTCCACTTCAGTGAAATCGCTGTCTTCTTCTTCTTCGACTTCTTTGGCTTTTTCTTTCATAGTCTTCCTTCGGATCGGTGCTTTTCTTTTAGGAATTTCTTCTTCGTTCCTCTCCTTCTTTCTTCTGATAGGGGTCCTGGAGGAGGAAGCGCGACTTTCGACTTCGTCGTCGCTGCTACTTTCTTCTTCTTTGTTTCTTCGGATCTGTCCTCTTTCTCTAGGGTGGAAGGAGGCGTCGTTGGCACGGTGTCCTACTTGGTGACATTTGAAGCATCTTCCTTCTTTAAGGTGCTTCTTTAATTCTGCGTCTGAAAGACGGCTTATGCGGTCGACTTCCATGTCGTCGTTTCTTTTCGGAATGTAATGCCTATTTCCGAAGTTCTTCTTCTTCTGTTGCTGAGGTCTTTCTTTCTTTTTTATGGCTTTCCATCTTTGGAAGGCGTTATCGAGATTAATGCAGGAGTTGACGACAGTGTCGAAGTCATCAAGGGTTTCGCCTGTTTTATACAGGTTGTCTTGAAGCCCGTAGTCTAAGCCTTGTCGAAAGAATTCGATGAGGGGGGCTTGTTCGGTCATTCCTGCCCGGTGTGCGAGGAGTTTGTAATTGGAGATATAGGTATGGAGATCTCCTTTCATCTCCAATCCTCTTATCTTCGTCATGGCAGTTCCGGCGGGGTCCATGGGTTTAAAGGCTTCGTCGAAGTCCTTTTTGAATTTGATCCAGGTACCGTAGCCGATCATTTGTCCAGAGGTGTCTTTCCTCTTGGGGTCTAGGGCTGCTTCCATGAAGTCTTCTGCCCAGGCTGCTGCGTTTCCTTTCGTCATGTAGGATAACACAAGGATGATCTTCTTTTTATCATCAACGTAGACTTTGTCGTTAATGTCGAGGTATGCATGACATTTCATCATGAATCTCTTTGATTCTTCCCTGTCTCCATCGAATTCGGGAGGGGAACCGATCTTTAGTTCTATTTCTTTGTTCTGCGTCGTCATGGTGTTCAAAGGAGGAATGGTTGGTAGCGCTCCTAAGTTCAAGGCTCCGATTAAAGGAGTTAACGAAGTCGTGGTGTCGGTTTCGTTGCAGATGGCAACGGTTCAGGTGATAAAGACTTTAATCTTTTGTTACGACTGGGATGAGTCGAGCTATCTGTGTCTGAATAGACAATCGGCGAAATGCCAGATAGACGGAGGTATGCTCTCGATTGAGAGATCAAGGGTTCTGGCTAAGGCGAGTGTCGATGACTCCCTTAGAATAGTGGTTCTTAGACAGTAAAGTTGGAGACTTTACTGAAGGACGATGTTCCAGGTAAAACCCAGTAGATTAAAGTAAGGAATACAACAGTAGGTAAGTAGGTTTATATACCAGTGTTCAAGCGGAGCTTGTAGATGCTTTATCAAGATAGAAGCAAGAAGAGGCGGACAGCCCGCTTGGCGAGATAAGAGATAGACATGATAAGAGATAAGCGTGATACGGACGGCCCGTTTAGAAGGAGACAGAGAAATGAGTATAGGGGTCTAAATGTTACTGTAACACCTGGCTTCAGACGGCTTTGGCTTTGAAAAACTGCGGGCCAGGCCAAAGCCGTCAATGACGGCTTGGCTTTGGCCTGGCTCGGCCTGAGCCGCGGCCCGAGCACTGAAAACAGAAAAATGGTTCAGACAAGGATGACATACTATTTACACGAAGTCGCTGTCTGATTCTACGAGATCCTCATCTCCCTCCAGAAGAGCGTCCCAACCTTCATCCTCGGCATCACTCAGCTTCTCGGAGTCGTTAGTGTCTGACTCAATATCCAAGTCCTCGAGAGCTTCCTCAGTTGATGATGATGGTCCAGGCTCACGGAAGAGTACGTCGTGGCGGAGGGTGCATTTGACGCATTGAAGTGCCTCAACAATGTCACCCTTGAGACGGTTTCGGCGCTTGCTGATGGTGATACCGCCCTGTGAGAACGCGCACTCACTTGAAACTGACGATGCCATAATTGACAGGTACTGAAAATGATGAGTGTGCTATCTGCTAACACTGTGGCAAGTGAGTTGTGTCGAGCTTGAAAAGAATGTCTGCGACTCACTGTGATTCTTACCACATGAACATGCACACAATGTAAGTGATTGAAAAGCTAAAATGAGACAGAAGTCAGATTTTCGATCGACAATCGTCAAACAGTTTGAGCTTGGGCGCTGCAGGCACAGTTGACTAAGCCGCGGCCTGAGCCGGCGGCTTTGGCTTTTCATTAGCCCAGGCCAGGCCAAAGCCGTCACCAGGCCGTGACTTTGGCTCGGCTCGGCTTGGCCTATTCAGGCCCGGCTTGGCCTGGCCCACGGCCTGAAGCCGGGCCGTGCACATCACTAACCATGCCAGTGTACCCGCATTGAATACTGACGAGCTCACTTTGGGAAAAGGTATGGACGGTGTTATTGTGCTCTGCGTCGTTGCCGTGAGTTTTTTTAAATTTGAAACCATGTTTCTTTTCTGATTGTTTCCAGCTTGAACGTGCCCTCAAGTTTGTCGAAGACAGCATCATCAATGTCGATGAAGTTCTCGCGTCTATGGCCACTGGCAAGTTTTCTGTCAAGCTCCCGGCGAAACGCAACAAGGTAACGGGCAAGATGTCGAGCGGATGTTACAAATTTTCCTTCGCCAATTGGCACGACGAGACGGAAGCATACATGAAGTCGATCGGTAACAGGAACGAGGACTCTAAACTAATCATTATTTCGCGCGCACGAAGGTATATGAAGAAGTCTGCGAGGGGAGATGCCTCGGATGAAGATATGGAGGAGACTCAGAGCATTGACGAGCGCGCCCTCATTTGTAAAGTTTCTCTCTCCACTTAGCGTTATCATTGCTGACTTCTTTTTTTTAAATAGAATACTACCCTAGTACTATGGGCTTTGACACAACGTTTCTTTTCTTTCCCGCTGATGCCAATAACAGACTCGCACATTTTTCCTACCCGTTTTCTACCAGTACTATTACTAATACATTCAAGTTGCTTTGCCGCCTTATATTTCCTTACTTTTTTTCCTGTTTGTTTGCAATGCGCACTTTTTCTTCTGACTACCAGAGGGATAAGTAAGATTAAGACGAGAATCAGAGATTGACATGCCTGATTAAGTTGCCCGCTGATTTTTGCATATTTGTGCTTATTAAGTCATTTAAGTACAAAAAGTGAATCAGTGATTTTGCTGATGTGTTTAAAGAAGCGCGATTCAAACCTTGCTATAATTCGAGTAGGTGACGCATAGAACAGGTGAGTTTACACCCCCGCTTTCTTTCAATCTGACCGGTGGACCCTTATTTCCAAAATCACGCAGTAGTCCGAGCCAACACGACACATCCGCTAGCAAGATCGGCATCGTATAAAGAGTGACATATTTCAGAGTCTTTGTCTCATAACTCGGGTCTCTTATTTCTCCATTCCCTCATTTCGACGTTCACGAGTCTGACAACCTCCATGGCTTCTGCCGCAACTTGCACCGTCACTTCTTCTGACACCGAGCCCACAGAGTTTATTTTACCTGACTTCTTCAGCAATTGCCCTACCCCATGCGACTAAACCCTCACTGTGATCAGGTATCTCGCGCTTGTGCACAATGGCTTGCTAGCGAAGGCCATCTAGTAGAGCCCGATGTTACAAAATATACTACGATATTGCGCCCAGGTTACTTCGTTTCATCTTGTTACCCTGATGCGGATGCTTTCCATCTACAAGTCTGCGCGGACTTCCTGGGCTGGTCATGGAAATTGGATGACTGGCTCGAGATCGAAAGGTTGCTCCATGTCAATGATGCATGGAGAATGCGTGACTGTTGCACATCTGCGTACCGCGATCCTGTCAACTTCCAGACGGAAAGACCTAGTGGAAAGATGTGCAAATCGTATGTCTATTCTCGTGGCGCACACGTTCTAACCATATTACGGTTTTAAGATACTTCAGTCGCTTTAAGAAGACTGGCGGCCCTGGCTGCACAAAGCGCTTTATTCATACAATGGACTTATGGTTTATCTCCGCGGCCAAGGAGGCGGAGAACCGCGTCAAGGGACATATCAATGATGTTGAATCTTACATCGAATTTAGGCGCGACTTGAGCGGCTGCAAGCCTTGCTTTGCCCTTATCGAATTCGCCTGTCAGATTGATCTTCCCGACGAAGTAGTCTCGCATCCAGTCATCATGACGCTGGAGGAGGCTGCCAATGACTTCATTTCTTGGTCAAATGTAATACCTCATTCTGTCGTCGAAGTTGAGGCACTACTGATATCGCTGCTGACAGGATATTTTCTCCTATAACATAGAGCAAGCTCGCAATAGCACCCATAATTTAGTTGCTGTGCTCATCGTCAAACAAGGTCTCGACCTGCAAGGTGCTATTGACTACTCCGCCCAGCTATGCAATATCTCCCTCCAACGCTTCGAAGAAAACCGTGCTGTCCTCCCCTCATGGGGAGAAGAAGTCGACAAGGATGTGGCTAAGTACGTCGAAGGACTGCAGAACTGGATTACCGGTACGCTGCAGTGGTCCTTCGAGTCCGCCCGCTATTTCGGGAAGGATGCGCATATAATCAAGCAGAACAGAATTGTCAAGCTGGTTCCCAAGCGACCATTGTGAAATCCACAGCTATTGTTGTATGTAGGACCGTTTGACTTTGTGCCTGCGATGACTATCATTATAGAAAGTTACTTGTCTATGTCTTGCTTTGTGTGAAGCTGCTTTTTTTCCGCGGAACGCGCATCATGCTTCTCCTTTTTTCTTACTCAAAATGTTTTTGACTTCTGCTGTCGTGTGTATAATATTAAGCACTACTAGTCTGCCTAGTCAGACCAGAATGGAAGGAAGAGTCTTGCTTTCTATATAGAATTGTACACTCACGAATATGTACATATGTACCAATTTTTGTACAATTTTTGTGAATGATGCATTTAAGTTGGCGCGGTTCAGTGTCAGGTCTAGAAGAGCTCTGCAGGATTCTTCACATTGCTGAGATTTATGCACCGTAGAGCTTCGTACGTAAGAGAAGCGACCTGCTTCAAGGCTACAGTTTCGGATGTCAACGTTCCGTCTCAGAATCAGCAGGTGATCCAGGGCGCTGTTGAACGTTGATCATCGATGATGCCCCATCTGTGCATTTGCCACAGATTGTCGCTAAGACTGTGGCATCATAAATTCCAGTGACATCTTCGAGGAATGCATAGTGAGTGCTAGCCCCTATCTCAAAAGTTAACGTTCAACACCTATGCAGGGAATCACTAGAAAACACAACCAGTCTAGTTACCTGTGGCAGTGGCACGTGCACGTCCGATATAGGGTGGTCACCGTGTGCGTTCGGGCTTGGAGTCAAACCATTTCTTTTTACGACTATGATCACTGCATAATACTACTTGCTGCTCGACTTTAACAAGAAACAGAGTGCATTCAGCTATGGATATGCAGATGCCTCGTGAAGGGTTGAGCTATATAGTTCCACCAGGGGTAGCTACATTGATGCGGCTGTGACGCACCTTGACGTCATTTTTAGCCATGTCAAAACCTGTTAAAGGAGCCAAATCAGCTTCGTCTCTTACTCGCACGTCATGGAACCCATTTCATTCAGACTTAACGACCTTCCGACTGAGCTCGCCCTCATCATCTTCAAGCATGCGGCACAACCACCTTTTGCTCAATATGCGCCTTTCACCCGAGATCCATACTCATCCGCCCTTTCACTATGCCAGGTCTCCAAAATTGTCAGGCGCGCTGCGCTGCCTGAAATTTTGCACACAGTATTATTGTCGACAACTCGCGACCTACTCGCTTTCGTACGGGCTCTGCGTATGCAAAAAACATACATTGATCAACAACATGATCTAGCTTTTGATTACGCATCTTGCGTGGACAGGATGTCAATCGGACACTTTCAGGGGCCTCGTTCCTACTTTCCCCTTCCTATGCTCGAGCTTGAAGACGAGTTCGATATCAGTCTGCTCGCTCCAGTCATTCTCGGTGCATCGTCCCTCGCAATCAGCTTTAAGGATATAAATCTTCTTTCAAAATGCCTCAAACATGCGTGCAACTCCGATGTCGACTTAAATGTCGACCACAAAAATTCTTTGCTTCCTTGGAGCATGAGAAGTTTGACGTTATTGGGTAGTTTCTCTCCTTCATGGTGGCCCTTCATGGGATCTGTCCATGGATATGCTTTCCTCGCTTCCATCCAACACCTCACCCTACTCGAGTCCACATCCTTCCAAGACCAGCCCTTCCAGTGCAACTGTGTTAGCGAAGTTGAATTTAAAGACTCCTTGGGCCACATGCATCCTTTGTGCATCGCGCGCGTTCCTTTCAAAGGATTGCAAACACTCTCGTTGGCCATTCCGCATACCAACCCCCGGCCGGTCGCTCAATGTGCGCCCCAGGATGTATGGCTGAAGTTGGTCACGTTCCCTGCTTCCGTGCTACCAGAGCCTTGTAGTACGCAACAGGAAATAGAGCGGTTTATTAAGACTGGAGCCTCGAAGTCTACTCCATATGGATTTCTAACACATTTAACGTTGTTCCATCACCGCTTGCTAAATCTTTGAGGCCTCGGGTGTCAGACAGACTACGCAATGGGTTGTATTACGGTCCATAATTTGAACATAGTTGAAAGATAGTACCTGCTCCGGGGATCGGCGCGACTTATTCGTGTAGTCTTTGCCATTGCATAACGTTCAAGCTCAAGCTCAAGTTTGTCACGCTGCATAACAGCCTGCTGGCAGCTGGACTGAGTAGTAGTACTGAGCCTTCGCAATGTTCGCATCGTCCTCTGCCGAGGCCCGACCTGTAATTTATGTACCCTCCTCTTGTTGATTTCTGGTAAAAAAAAGGTTCACAAATGGGAGCAAAAAGGCAGTTTGGTTTGCAACAGAAAGAATTGCATTGAAGTCAAGGTGAGTGACAAAGTCATATTCAAGTTCGCAGGCTTCCTTCTGATGTGGCATTTACACTTGACAGTGATCGTGCAGCAGCAAGCAGAGACACCAAGTCTATCGTCCAGATCTCACGGTCCAACATTTATCGCTTTGGTGACCCAAACTTCGCAGCGCCGGTCTTCCGTGATGTTGAATGGACTATTGATGAGGGTGAGAGCTGGGCTGTGATAGTAGGGACTGGCTCGAAGCAAAAGACGGCCCTTTTGCAGGTGCGTCATACTGATATTCTGAAGTGTTTACATCGACAAATACACACCGCGCTTTAGACACTCCTTGGTCACCTACGCATAACTCCTCCGCCCTTACCTGGAGGACTACTTTCCGACCCTCCACGCGACCCACACAACTCTGTGGCCTTTGTGTCATTCGCGCATCGGCCGCGCGCAGCAGGTGGTGCCTTCTACGACTACACTTTTCGATACGGTGCAGTCAGAGAAGAAGACCGCATCACCCTTCGAGAAAGTACGTTCGGAGAGTACGACTTTCTGAACGTCCAGCCGAAAGGTGGAAAGGTGAAGACTCCCGTCGAAATTGCACAGAACGAAGTGAAGAAGGGCATCTTTGAGGACCTAACTTCGAGACTAGGTCTTTCCTCCCTGTTGGATCTACCTTTGATCGCTTTATCAAATGGCCAGACGCGTCGAGCATGCATCGTGAAGGCTATCTTGTCTGAACCAGAGCTCCTCGTACTCGACGAACCTTTAAGTGAGTGAGTGAACTTAAACATAACGAGCGTGAAGTATCATGGCTGTACTTTGTCCAGCCGGCCTTGATGTCAATACTCGCCCAATCTTGCTGAATGTCCTTCGGTCGCTGCACGAGTCTCGCAGTCCACGCATTATCATGGGTCTCAGGATCCAGGACCCTGTTCCTGACTGGATATCGCACATCGCTCTAGTGACGGGCGAAACTATCCTGACAGGTGTCAAAGATGAAATCATGTCCAAGCATGCGGAACATCACGCAAAGGAAGCTGAGCATAGAACGGCAAGCACCACTCCGTCATATCTGCAGTCTGGCCTTGATCATGGAAAGCCAGTAGTTGACATGAAGAATGTAAATTCTCATTTCGTTTGTTCTAGCTATACTATGGGCATGTCATCGTTTCCTCTTTTTTTCTCGTTGTACTTGGAGTTTTATGATGCATCGACGACGATGAACGATTTGAAATCACCATCTAATACTTGTACGTGAGGGTATTGTACCGGTACACCTGCCGTCCCGTACAGGGCGCCAAGATAACGCTTACAATCAATGTCGTGTACGATTCAGATGTTGTGCTACACCGCCACATGAAGCCAAGCCATTAATCAGCGCTGCGCTTGTTCTCCACAAGACGAAGCCTTCTTGCTTATCAACCACAACATCACACTTATCAGCCACCAACAATTTGAATCTTTGACCCAACACAGAACTTATTAAGCCATGGCATATCAAAATGTGCGTGCTTTTTGCGACTATGAATCTGAATCAAGCGTTGATGCTATAGGTGCTTTTTCTTATCTTATTGTAGTCACAGTATGGTGGATATGGAGGACCTGGGGGTTTTTCTTCAGGTATGGCCCAGGCAGGTCCTCCGCCTGGTGCTGATCCTCAGTGAGTGTCGTTCATTTTCATTCTTATCATCGGCATAGTCGTTGTCCCTATAAACATCGATTGCAAGCGCTTCATTTCCACCCCCTTTATCATTGGTGTTTTTTGACTGATGCGCATATGATACGAAAGGCTATGGACGTGGTTCGCTGCTGTTGATACGGACCGGTCGGGCGCAATCTCTGCTATTGAGCTTGGTGCGTCTGTTCCGAGAATCTGAGGAGCGTTTTTGTTAATCAATGATGACCTGTTCGGGATCGCGGGTGATTAGAGAGGGCGTTGATCAATGGAGATTGGACTCGTAAGTTTTCGCTTTTAGGTTTTTGGGTTGGGATAGGAGCTAATGGTGGTGTAGCGTTTGATTTGGATACTGTGAAGCTCTTGATGGGCATGTTTGTGGGTGTCTTCTTTGTTACCGTGCTGTTTGATCGATTGTTCATCGGTTGCAATAGGACGTCGATCGGAGCGGAACGATCGGGTTCAACGAAGTACGATTTCCCTATCTTATCTCATCTTCCCATCGATCTAAACGAGAGTAGTTCTGTGGACTCTGGAAATATATCAAGGTGCGTACACGTCCTCAGCTTTGCTCATACAGCTTACCAGAAAACGATCAACAGGACTGGCAGAACGTATTCCGCCACTTCGACAGAGACCGCTCCGGCACCATCGACCGCAATGAGCTCCGTGACGCCCTCAGTCGATTCGGGTACAATCTCAGCCCACCCCTGATCAAGCTTATCCAAGTCAAATACGGTATGTCTCCCATCCATTCTCCCATTCGAGTCATGCACCTGTCACGTTGCCGCATCTCCGCTGAAATCATGCTAATCCAAGATATCCAAGCTTCCACTGTTGCTAGCCACTATGGCCCCACTCCTGGCATCACGTTCGATCGCTTCGTTCGCGCTTGTGTGGTTATCAAGCAATTGAGCGGGGCATTCCAGAATCTGGATACTGATAATGATGGATGGGTGCAGATTAGTTATGATCAATTTATGCAGACTGTTCTGTCGTTGCCTTGATGTGGTTTTGGTGATGGAATCAGGAGAGGAGGGGAATGTGTACTTTTAATTTGTCGGTAACAGCAACGTTATGTATGTGAGATATATCTATCTTCTTGTAGTGGGCACTGGAGTCGGCAAGCCGTGGATAGTTGAGGGCCAGGCCCTCGGGCCGGCGAACACAGGACGCGTTTCCATCACGTGGCAAGATATGTACCATTACTAGTGAGCACGTGAGGAACGCGACACGTAAATTCACCTGAACGCGCTTTACTTCAAGTTTCGAAACTTCGTGTTCTCTCAACGTTGTTCTACACCTGTAATCACATTCCTGTAATCAGTATACAATGGTCCACAACTGCATTGACTGGAGCGTCATACCACTACGTTTCTTAACGATATCGTACGGAAATAAAAAGGTCGCGACGCGATGGGGTCCAGCATCCAAAGTTCGCGAGTTCAAAGTACGTGTCACGTTAGCCACTCTCGTGACTTTTATATCATGTCTGTAATCTCAGTCCCTCCAATCTTTTGCGCACCGTAAATTTGATATCCGAGACCACCCATCCTCATCCCTGCGCTTCCGAACGACCTGCAACCTTAGCACTACACGTTTCCAGGACGACTCGACGTTTGAGGTCGATACAGAGGCATGGGAAGAAGAGGGCTTGGTGGACCTTGTCTGTTGTCTGGAGGTGTACTTGGAGGAGGTTATGCCTGGTCCACAGTCCGGCGAAGAGGCCACGCAACCTGTGGAAGAGGAACATGAGGATACTCGGGTGCACGAGCAAGTTCGAGATCCTGACGAACGGGAAGGTGAAGAGGGAGAACACAGTGATATAGCAGACACCAATGATAATGTCGAGGAGGACGAAGCACAGGACGAGGACGAGGACGAGGGGGAGAAAGAGGAGCAGGAGCAGGAGAACAAAGAGGCGGATCAAGAAGAGAACGAAAAGACAGATGAGTTTGAGGAAAGTACAGTGCGGACTAGGCCATCTCGTCGCCGACGATGGTTCGTTGCGTCTGACGACGAAGATAGTTCAAAGGCGCTTGACCGTAACTCGAGGCTGACTGCAGATTTGCAGCAGACAGAGAAGGCTGCTGTTGTTAGTGACCCTCAGCACTCTGTTCCCAATGCTGAGAACCAGTTGATTACTGCTCGTGCACAAGACACGCCACATGTCCCTGGTGAGTTACTCCCATATGCTACACAGATATGTGTGACAACGAAATATATAGACACAGAACGGCCAATTAGGAAGGAAAAGGAAGTTCCTCCTGCGTATCGCGTACGGGTGTCGTCAGTCGCTGGAAGCTCACAAGAAGGCCCAGCCCTCTTCAGAGCACATAAACCACTAGGTAGTGCACATTCTTCTTTGTCGTCCGATATCTCACACAACAGCATTAGACCAACGTGTCAAGCAAGAGCCAAATTCGGCAGGGCGATTGGAGTCTCAGCCTCAAGCGACACAGGCGACACAGGAATGTACGTTGTTTGCAAAATCATCTATCGTGCTCATCAATCTACATAGCTGAACCAGCGCCTGAGCTCATACACACCAAACTCGTCGTCAGTATCCAGCACAAACCATCCGCGCAGCATGCACAATTCAGCGCGAAGCCCCAAACACGAATAGGTAAAGTTCTCGCCGGGGCATGCAAGAGCTTCCGCTTGGATGTCAATGTGTCAGTGCTTCCGACGTTTGCGTTGAGTGTTCCTCGCCTCATATTTTCACTCTGCAGAGCGCAACTCTATTTAGTGGTGGTGACGCAAAATGATGAGGGCTTGAAGGAGGAAGATCATTTCTTGTGTGATCGAAATGAGACAGTAGAAACCGCTATCGTGGGCGTGGAAGGGAGGGCAAATTTCATGATTCGCATGCCTGAAGATCCCGCAATGTAGGATGATATATATATATATATATATCACTTTGTAGCGGAAAGGGGAATTCTACGGGTGGCTTGCTTATTCCTCGATGGTGCCGAAGGATCTGGTAAACAATACCTTCTATCTCTGATGCGCTCGATTTTTCCGAAGAACTCTACAACTCTTGTCCTGCCCCATCATCTAATTTGAATCTTTTTAAACCATCTTGTACCGTCCAAGGTACCTCTTCCTCCCAGTGGCTGATAACCACTACTGCTTGGTCGGATCCCACACCGCCCTCGCAAAGATAGCGCCTCGCAGCACGGACCATATTTTCGTCCATACCACTCCAGACTTCGTCCAGCAAAACAAGTTGGGGGTGGCTCACAAGTGCCCGCATCAACAGAACGATACTCTGTTCGCCTGCTGAGAGGTCCACGAAATCGCGTTTCGAAAATACCTCGTTCGGTGCCAGCAGCTCGTCGCCAGTGGCGAAACTGCTGGTTTCTGTCTCCCAGGAAGTTGGACCAAGGCCGTTAAGGACCTCACGTACGCGTTTCACTCTCCATTGTCTGACTTCGTCGCTGAGTGCACCCTCTAGACCTATCCCGACGCCGTCCTTGCCACCAGGGACAAAACCACCATCGAATCCCGTGCCTACGACGTCAAACACACTGACGCCGGCGCGTCGCGGGTACGCATTCGCAAGCTCTGGTGAAACGACGCCGATGAGCGAACGTAAGAGTGGGGTAGGGATACGCTGCCGAGGTCGAGAGAACAACTCCAGATTCGAGTCGCCTCGCTGAGTGTAAGACTGGGGATGGTCCCCAGTCAAAAGCGAAAGAAGAGTAGTTTTCCCGGAACCTGTCGAAAGTGATCAGAATCATAAAGCATCAATTTCGTGCGAATGTTGACGCACCATTCGCGCCTTGAAGGTGCCAGCGCTGGCCTTCACGGATGGTCCAGTTTATGTTTTTGAGCACCTAGATCGATAGTATCATTGACATGGAAACAATGAAGAACAGTGTAATTACCTTGCGTGGGCCGTATGATACGTTTACGTTCTTCATGTCAACTACTGGCTTTCCATGATCAAGGCCGGACTGCAGATATGACTGAGTGGTGCTTGCCGTTCTATGCTCAGCTTCCTTTGCGTGATGTTCCGCATGCTTGGACATGATTTCATCTTTGACACCTGTCAGGATAGTTTCGCCCGTCACTAGAGCGATGTGCGAAATCCAATCAGGAACAGGGTCCTGGATCCTGAGACCCATGATGATGCGTGGACTGCGAGACTCGTGCAGCGACTGAAGGACATTCAGCAAGATTGGGCGAGTGTTGACATCAAGGCCGGCTGGACAAAGTACAGCCATGATACTTCACGCTCGTCATATTTAAGTTCAATCACTCACTTAAAGGTTCGTCGAGTACGAGGAGCTCTGGTTCAGACAAAATAGCCTTCACGATGCGTGCTCGACGCGTCTGGCCATTTGATAAAGCTATCAAAGGTAAATCCAGCAGGGAGGAAAGACCTAGTCTCGAAGTTAGGTCCTCAAAGATGCCCTTCTTCACTTCGTCCTGTGCAATTTCGACGGGAGTCTTCACCTTTCCACCTTTCGGCTGGACGTTCAGAAAGTCGTACTCTCCAAACATACTTTCTCGAAGGGTGATACGGTCTTCTTCTCTGACTGCACCGTATCGAGAAGTGTAGTCGTAGAAGGCACCACCTGCTGCACGGGGCCGATGCGCGAACGACACAAAAGCCACAGAGTTGTGTGGGTCGCGTGGAGGGTCCGAGAGGAAAGGAAATAGTCCTCCAGGTAAGGGCGGAGGAGGAGTTATGCGTAGATGACCTAGGAGTGTCTAAACCCCAATGTGAATTTGTACTTTAGACTATCAGTATGACGCACCTGCAAAAGGGCTGTCTTTTGCTTCGAGCCTGTGCCTATCACAGCCCAGCTCTCACCCTCATCAATAGTCCATTCAACATCACGGAAGACCGGCGCTGCAAAGTTTGGGTCACCAAAGCGATAAATGTTGGACCGTGAGATCTGGACGATAGACTTGGTGTCTCTGTTTGCTGCTGCACGATCACTGTAAAGTGTAAATGCCACATCAGAAGAAGGCCTGCGAATATGACTTTATCACTCACCTTGACTTCAATGCAATTCTTTCTGTTGCAAGCCAAACTGCCCTTTTACTCCCATTTGTGAACATTTCTCACCAGAAACCAACAAGAGAAGGGTACATAAATTGCAGGTCGGTAGAGGACGATGCGAAGGCTCAGTCCAGCAGGCTGTTATGCAGCGTGACAAACGTTATGCAATAGCAAAGACTACGCTTGGGTAAACCCGTGCTGGACCGTCAATTTCACCGTGATCAGCCTTCGTGTTGCTGGCAAGACAAGGAATAACTGCGGAGCAAGTACTATCGTCGTAAAAGTTTCAACTATGTTCAAATTATGTACCGCAATACAATCCATTGTGTGTATGTCTGTCTGACACCCGTGCCAGTGAGGCCTCAAAAATGTGTCAACCCGCGGTAAAGGAACAACTGTGACCGTGAAGGAACTTGAAATGGAATATATGAGTAAACCTTGCTCCAGTCTTGATAAACCGCTCTATTTCCTCTGGTGTACAAGGCTCCGGTAGCACGGAAGCAGGGAACGTGACCAACTTCACCCATACATCCTTGGGCGCACATTGAGCGACCGGCCGGGGATAGGTGTGCGGGATGATTTTGATGTGCGGAATCGCCAACGAGAATGTTTGCAATCCTTTGAAAGGAACGCGCGCGATGCACAAAGGATGCATGTAGCTTGAGCAGTCTTTAAATTTAACTTCACTAACACAGTTGCACTGGAAGGGCAGGCATTCTTGGAAGGATGTGGACTCGAGTAGGGTGAGGTGTTGAATGGAAGCGAGGAAAGCATATCCATGGACAGACTCCATGAAGGGCCACCATGGATCAAAGAAATGACCCAATAACGTCAAACTTCTCATGCTCCAAGGAAGCAAAGAATTTTTGTGGTCGACATTCAAGTCGACATCGGAGTTACACGCATGTTTGAGGCATTTTGAAAGAAGATTTAGATTGCTAAAGTTGATTGCGAGGGACGATGCACCGAGAATGACTGGAGCGAGCAGACTGATATCGATCTCGCCTTCAAGCTCGGGTATAGGAACGGAAAAGTAGGAATTAGGTGGGCTTCGCAAAGGCCCCCGAAAGTGTCCGATTGACATCATGTGCACGCAAGATGCGTAATCAAAAGATAGATCATGTTGTTGATCCATATATGTTTTCTGCATACGCAGAGCCCGTACGAAAGCGAGTAGGTCGCGAGTTGTCGACAGTAATACTGTGTGCAAAATTTCAGGCAGCGCAGCGCGCCTGACAATTTTGGAGACCTGGCATAGTGAAAGGGCGGATGAGTATGGGTCTCGGGTGAAAGGCGCATATTGAGCAAAAGGTGGTTGTGCCGCATGCTTGAAGATGATGAGGGCGAGCTCAGTTGGAAGGTCGTTAAATCTGAATGAAATGGGTTCCATGACGTGCGAGCAAGAGACGAAGCTGATTTGACCCCTTTAACTAGCTGATCAGGTTGTGACATTGCTAAAAATGACGTCAAGGCGCGTCACAGCCGCATCAATGTAGCTACCTGGTGCCTTCGCGAGGCATCCGTATATCCATGGCTGAATGCACTCTTTTTCTTGTTAAAGTCGCAAGTAGTATTATGCAGTGATCATAACCATAAAAAGAAAAGGTCTGACCAAGCCCGAACGCACACACCACCCTATATCGGACGTGCACGTCTATACAAATACCATACGCATAACTAGACTGGTTGTGTTTTCCAGTGATTCCCTGCATAGGTATTGAACTTTTGGAACTATCAGAAACGGATAACTTTTGAGATAGGGGGTAGCACTCACTATGCATTCCTCGAAGACGACACTGGAATTTATGATGCCCTCGTACACAATCTTAGCGACAATCTGTGGCAAATGCACAGATGGAGCATCATCAATAGCGCCCTGTATCACTTGCTGATTCCGAGACGGAACGTTGACATCTGAAACTGTAGCCTTGAAGCGGGTCGCTTCTCTGACGTACGAAGCTCTAAGGTGCATAAGTCTCAGTGATACGAAGAATCCTGCAGAGCTCTTTTAGACCGCACCTTGTTGACAATAGCTGCAGTAACTGTGCATCAATGGTGTCTAACTGTACACGAATTTCGTCTAGCGAAGAACAGCATGTCGTGCCGTTCGCGAATTGGATCGTTGGCTCGCCCCATGGTACAGTACGGTTGGCAGTGGAGGATGGTATAGAAGGGAGAGGGTTGAAATAACATTTTTCAGAAGGGTCTGAGGTCCGGGGAGACGCCACGACGAGAGCGATGATTTGAAGAGCAACAAGAAAACCTAACATCCTGGTTGAAGTGAATTGTTGGTTTCTTTGGAGTTTTATACTGACAACTACCCGCAGAAAATCAGATTGATGGACCTGTGACGTGTCAATCTTACCTATCACCCGTTCACGGTAGCTTGGTGAGTCGACGTGGCGTGTAGTTGTGGTTTGACTAGCGTTTATACCGAACACCCGTTCATAATGACGGCCAAAGGACGTTAAGCCCGATTAGGTTCAAATTCAAATTCAATAGATTCTGCATATTCAAACCTCAAATTCCCATCCGGCATCAAATAATGCGGCCGAGCTCTTGGTAACAACTGCCCACTCCGGCAAGAAAAGGAGCACCTCCTCCAATGACGGAATCTTGCCCCCAGTACGCCCCCCACCAACCGTAGCACTTTCATACTCTGCCCAACCACAGCTCACGCGTCCCGTAGCCTTCTCATCCTCGCTTCCAGCAAAATCAACGTCCACTTCAAACTCCTTCTCCCAATCCCGACTCCATAGTCGTATTTGTTCGAGCCCGTCTTCAGGTACCTCAGAGCCCCCTTGCAGACCTTTTCCGCCGTCACCAGAAAGATGGAATGTTTTCACGCGTTTACCTGAGAATTCGAGTGTGCAGCTTCGAGTATTCAATCCTTGTACTTTGATACGCGCGCTGTTCGATCCCGTACGCTTGATGGATGTCGTGACCCA